GATGATAACATGTTGCCTTTAAAATTATGGTATAAAATGACTATAGGGTTATAAAAGCAAAGAGCCATTTAACATCTGTGGGTAATAAAGATTATCCCAAGTTTCCAAATTTCCTTGTAGACTTCAGAGTCATTTTGTATTGCTCGTGTTACCCATCTTAGGCTGCTAACCCCTCAGAAAGAATGATGACTCAAATAAATGAACATCTTATTATTTGAGAGGAATTTCTATTTTTTAAATAAAGTCAGACTCCACAGAGTACTTGATTACTTGTTAAATATATTTTCTACAAAACAGCATAATGCCTGCGGCACAATAAATATTAAACGAGTGTTAATGGATAAAGTAAGATGGATACAGTCAAGAAAATGTAGAGCAAAGGAATAGTACTGGACACAAGGGACTTTTTCCTACTTTTCTCTGATTCAGACTCCGAATTCTAGCTAGAGGTCTTTGAGAAACCACAGTTTGTTTTAACTCCTGCTTAAACAGTGTAATGAGAAAGAAATTGAAACTGAGATTCTTGGACCAAATAGCTTTTTTTAAAATATATTTTTAAAAGATTTTATCTATTTATTTGACAGAGAGAGAGAAAGAGGGCACAAGCAGGGGGAGGGTCAGGCAGAGTGAGAGGGAGAAGCAGGCTCTATGCCTAGCAGGAAAATGATGTGGGGCTGAATCCCAGGACCCCGGGATCAGGACCTGAGCCAAAGGCAGATGCTTAACCTACTGAGCCACCAAGGCCCCCTGCAAATAGCTTATCTTGATATTCTCCCTGCTCTCAGTAAGATTTCATCATCTTATGAATGTGAGCTGTTCATGTCATTTTCCTCTGTTAATTTACTTCTTGGTAACATTTCATTATGAAATGCTGTTTTATAAAATATGTGGCTCCATCAACAAACAAAACAACTCCAGGATAAATATACTCCATTTATTCCTCCCATCCCTCAATCATTAATACATAGAAATTTCTTGAGCCCAAAAAATATATCAGACACAGTGATGGTTGCTGGGGCTTTAAGTAGTGAGTAGAGAGGAACCTGGGTCTTGCTTTCAGAGAGCATTGTATCCACTGAGAGACACCCAGAGCGGAGCACAAAATGACAAAACCATGTTATAAATGTTCTGAAGAGAGTGGCAGCACAGGGTGCTATGAAAGCATCTGAGGGACACACAACAAAGACCAAGGGGTCAGGAAGATTTCCTAGATGAAAGCACATCAAAAGGGGTACAAAAATTGAAAGGGAATGAATAGGCATGTGTTGCCTTAGAGGATTCGCAGGAGAGGATGCATAACAAAGTCCAGTGGGTGAAAAAGGGTATGCAGAAGATCTAATCATTTCAATATGTTGTGGCTATTGGCCCATCTATTCATTCAATAATCAATTACTGAGACCCACTGTGTGTCAGGTTATAACCTGGACACTGAGCTCCTAAAAGTATAATTAGTAAGATAGGAAACTGGAAAGTTAGTGACAGGGAAGACCAAGAAGAGTTTCACCATTGTGTTAAAGCTGAATGCCAAGTACCATGGGGAACACATTGAAAAGGTCTTCCGTATCTTTTCATGGCCTGTAGCTCATTTCTCTTGGCACTGATTAATATTCCACTGTTTGATGTTGCAGTTTATCTATCCTAACCTACTGAAGGACATCTTGGATGCTTCCAATTGTATGGACAATTATGAATAAAGCTGCCTTTAAACATCCGTGTGCAGGCTTTTTTTGTGGACATAAGTTTTCAGCTCCTCTGGAAAAATGTCGAGTGAGATTGCTAAATTGTTTTAGTTTTGTAAGAAACTGACAAACTGTTTTCCCAAATGGCTGCACCATTTTGCTTTCCTACCAGCAATAACCGAGAGTTCCTGTTGCTCCACATCCTCACCAGCCTTAATTGGTGATGGTGTCCCATATTTTGCCATCCTAGTAGGCATATTGTTGTAAAACCTCTTTTGAGTCATTTGCTTATCTAAAATCTGCAGATTAATTAATTCAAGAAGGCTCATGGACTTGGAGCCAATTGGTCCAAACCTCATAATTAAAATATGACAGGTTAAAATAATGCAATATATGTTAAGAAAAAAAAAAAGAAGAAGAAGAAGAAGATAGCAGGAGGGGAAGAATGAAGGGGAGTAAGTCGGAGGGGGAGACGAACCATTAGAGACGATGGACTCTGAAAAACAAACTGAGGGTTCTAGAGGGGACGGGGGTGGGGGGATGGGTTAGCCTGGTGATGGGTATTAAAGAGGGCACATTCTGCGTGGAGCACTGGGTGTTATGCACAAACAATGAATCATGGAACACTGCATCAAAAACTAATGATGTAATGTATGGTGATCAACATAACAATAAAAATTATAAAAAAAAATGACAGGTTAAGAATCTATGCCATGTTTGACCTGACATAAACATATTGATCCCATCCATCATTGTAAATTCTAAGATAAAAAATGTGTGCTTTGGCCAATTTATGTTGAATTCTACATACAACACTGTTCTTACATAAAGTTAGATTTATTCCAAGGACAATGAGCCATTACCCACAGTTTTTGAGGAGTGAGCAATGGAATCAGAATTGTCTGTTAGAGTGCTGTTTCCTTCATTCTTCAGGTCTAAGGACTCATATTTTCCAAGTAGACCCTTTACAGCTCAGAGAAAAATGTGAATGCCAGATTTCTGGATGGGAAGGAGTGAAATAGCAAACACGTGCTTCCACATCGTAAGGTAGTCAAGATGGAAAACAGAATTCTCTCTGAAGAGACTGCACAGCTACTAAGGGAAGAAATAGAAGGAATGAGATTAAAAATGGGGGGTAAACTCAACTGAGGTGAGCAGCATCAAGGACAATTACCATGAGAATTGTCATTTCTGGGTACAGGATGGAACTGAAGATCCAAGTTTTATACACATTGATAGTGACTGCTGAGACATGAAGGAATCTGCAGAGCTTTGGTCAGAGATGTAGGGAATCTCAAAAACACATCAGTTTTTCCCTTGATTCATTTGCAAAGCCACATAGCATAACCAGGAGAGAAACAGACTTTTTAAAAATGATACTTTTAAAAAACAATATTAATTCTTCCTTTACCAAACTGTTTTAGAGGTTTATTACATTGTGCTATCGGTAGTTTGTTCCTCTTTAGAATGAATCGTATTCCACAGTATGGCTTTACCACATTTTGTATACTTATTCACTAGCTGATGGGCATTTGAATTGTGTCCAGGTAATGGCCATAGTGAATGATGAGCTGGAACATTCATGTGCAAGCCTTCGTGTGGACATAGATTATCATTTCTCTTGGATTGATACCTAAGAGTGGCATTGCTGAGTTATGTGATAAGTGTATGTTAGCATTTTAAGAAACTACCAAAGTGTTTTCAAAAGTGGTGGTGTTTTGTCACATTTCCACCAACAATATATGAGTATTCTCATTTCTCTACAACCTCACACATACTTGGCATTGTCAGTCTTTTTAAATTTAGCATAGAGTTGTTCAGAATATTATCTTATGACTCATACTTTCTGTAAGGTCCTTAGAAATAGTATTCTATTCATTGTTGATACTGTTTTTATCACTTTCTCCTTTGTTTTTTTTTTTCTCTTATTGAATTGGTTAGCACCTTCAGTATAATATTGAATAATGTTAATATGAACTAGTGATCCTAAGTGTCAATTCTTCTTCCTGATTCCAAAGGAATAACTTTTAGTATTTTACAATTCAATATGTTGTCTGTTCTAACATATTTATAGGTAATATTTTGGGCATAGTTTCAATTAGAAATTTTTTTCAAGTTTTTATTTAAATTCCAGTTAGCATACAGTGTAATATTAGTTTCAGGTGTAAATTTTATTTTTTCTGTTTATTTATTTATTTTTGTTTCAAATTTTTATTAAATGCAAGTTAATTAACATACAGTGTAATGTTAGTTTCAGGTGTACAATTTAGTGATCCAACACTGACATTCAACACCCAGTATTTGGGCTAAGCTCAAGTGTAGTTACAATTAGCTGATAACAAGTCATCTATTGATGTAATAATGTGTTTTATGTTTTAACACAAGCTAGGGATTTACCTCTAAACATTGGTATACTTTTTTATAGATAGTATTTGTATTAATTTTTTTATTATTCTCTAAATCTATTATGATTCATTTTCACTCAGTTTTTATTAAAAATGTTTCTGAATTACCATATATTTGAGATTGACCATTATTCTTTTATTATTGTTTTGTACTTTAGCTGAATTGTCATTAGATAAGTTCCTCTGAGTGGCTCAGATAATTTGACACTTGTTGAGAATATACTTGTGGCATAGAATAGGATGAATTCTTTTAAATAACTCCTATTCACTCAATAGCTGATGAGCAGAGTCTTTATATATCCATAGTTTGCTGCTTCTTACTTGGATCAAATTCTCTCTTTCTCTCTATTCTTCCACCTGTATACACATTCAGATTTGTAAATGTTTCAGTGTTGGAACTTCTATCGATATTGAATGATTTTAAGAATTGATAATGGTTCTTGCCTTAGGGTCTGTGTTTTAAATGTACATACAATAACAAAATAATATCAAATATATATATAATCTTGCTGCTTTGAATACTACTGCATTTTGCATACCTGGTTGGCTCAGTTGGTTAAGTGTCTGCCTCCAGCTCAGGTCATAATCCCAGGGTCCTGGGATCCAGCCTGGCATAGGTTTCCCTGCTCTGCAGGGAGCCTGCTTCTGCCTCTCCCTCTGCCTGCCACTTGTCCTTCTTGTGCTCTCTCTCTCTCTCTTTCAAATAAATAAATAAAATAAATATTTAAAAAATAAAAACCAAATACTACTGCATTTTGACTGCTCTATCTTTTTCATGCTTTCAATTTCAATTTTTTCATGCCCTAGGAGTTGGGTGCATCTTTTGTAAAAAGCACATATCAATAGATGATGTGCAGTCAACAAAAGACATGTTTCAAAATATTCAAAGCAACTCTACTCATAATATCCTTGAATACAAAATGCCTGAATGTCTAGCAACAAAAGAATGGATCAGTTGTCCCATATCCATGCAGTGTGAGACCCCAGATCAACGAAAATAGTCAGGAAACAGATAAAACATAAAGAATGAATCTCATGAACATACTAATGAGAAAAACAGTCACTGAAGAGTATAATCTGCATTACTATTTTTCTACAAATTCAAACCCTAGGTAAATTTAATCATTTTTGTAGATGAAAGTAGTGATTACTTTCCGAAGGTGGTCATTTTCAAGAATTATGAAGAGGACTTCAAGTGTACTGATAATTTGTGACTTTCAATCTGATTGCTGATTACATGATATTGCTCATTTTATTGATCTACCCATTCTACACATGAAGATGATCTGTATTCTAGTAGAGAAGTTGGTCATTTTAAGTACATGCCCTTTCAAACTTTAGACTGAAAAATGTTTTATGATGTTCTTTCAAAGCATAAAATCAAATCTTGCAATAGTTTTGTTTCTTTATTAGTAGCTGTTGAGAAGGTAGTTTGTCCAATTTCTCTTTGTTATAAAAACTCTACTTAATTTTTTCTCCCTCATTATTTTTTCCTGCTTTTCATGCTTCTTTGCACAGTGCCTCCAAAATGCTTGTAGCTCCTGTATTGCATGTGGCTAATCTAAAACTGCTTCAGGGGCACCTGGGTGCTGCATTCAGTTAAGCCTCTGCCTTCACCTCAGGTCATGATCCATAGGTCCTGGGATCAAGCCCAGGGTCTGGCTCCCTGATCGAAGGGGAGTCTGCTACTCTCCCTCTCCTTCTGCTCCTCTCCCACCCTCCTGTGTGCTCTCTCTCTCTCAAATAAATAAATAAAATTTTAAATACTTAAATAAATAAAAGTCTTCCAGTATTGTAATTATCTTTCTTCTTATAAAGTTCCACTCTCCTGTCCTTTGTCTGTCATAACTAGTATTTTTCTTAAGAGATCTTATTTTAAATTCCATGAAACATGAGCAAAAGGTCTTACATTAAAGTTGTAAGGTTTTCTTTTTTTAATTTTTTAAATTTTTTTAAAGATTTTATTTATTTATTTATTTGAGAGATAGTGCATGAGAGGGGGTAGGGTCAGAGGGAGAAGCAGAACCCCAATGAGCAGGGAGCCCGATGCAGGACTTGATCCTGAGACTTCGAGATCATGACCTGAGCTGAAGGCAGTCGCTTAACAAACTAAGCCACCGAGGCACTTTAAAGTTGCAAGGTTTTAATGTATTATCTATTTTCACTAGAAAAACTTTTTCCAAAGAATCTTCATTTAGTTACAAGATGTCTTCATTTAGGTATTGTGCAATGTATTTTGTAATCAATAAACTTTATTTTTTAGAGCAGTTTTACTTTTACCACAAAATAGAGCAGAAACTACAGAGATCCCATACCCTCCATCCCCCTCACTGGGACAACCTCTCCCTCCAGAGTTCTACATGTGTTAAATCAAATGAACCTACATCAATACAACATTATCTCCCAAAATTCAGTATACATCAGAGTTCACTCTTGGTGTTGTACAGTGGGTTTTGACAGGTATATAACACTATCCCAAATTCAGGGACATACAGAAGTTTCCTTACCCCTAAAAATCCTCTGTGCTCCACCTATTCATCCCTCTCTCCTCCCTAATCCTTGGCATCCAGGGATTGATATTTTTGCTGTTTCCATAATTTTACCTTTTCCAGAATGTCACATATAGATGGTCCCCAACTTACAATGGTTTGACTTGTACTTTTCCAACTTTACAAGGGTGTAAAAGTGATATACATGCAGTAGAAACTGTTTGAATTTTGAATTTGGGTCTTTTCCCAAGCTACTGATATGCAGTACAATCCTGGTGATTCTGGGCAGGGGCAGTTAGGTGCAGCTCCCAGTCAGCCAAGCAATTGCAAGTGTCAACAATCAAGACACTTACAACCATTCTGTTCCCATACAGCAATTCCATTTTTCATGTGCAGTACAGTATTTAATAAGTTACATGAGATATGCAATGCTTTCTTACAAAATAGGCCTTGTATTCAATGATTTGTCCAACTGTAGGCTAAAAATGTAAGTGTTCTGATGACAGTTATGGTAGGCTAAGCTAAGCTATGAGTTTTGGTAGGTTGGGTATATTTCATGCATTTTTGACTTAAGATATTTTCAACTTATGGGGAACCGGGGTGGCTCAGTCAGTTAAGCAGCTGCCTTTGGCTCAGGGCATGATCCCAGTGTTCTGGGATCAAGTTCCATATCTGGGTCCCCGCTCAGTGGGAAGTCTGCTTCTCCCTCTCCCTCTGTCCGTCCACCTGGATCATGATCTCTCTCTCTCAGACACATACTCTCTCTCTCAGACACACACACTCTCTTGCTCACAAATAAATAATAAAATCAATAAAAAATAAAAAATTAAAGTCTTAAAAAAGATATTTTCAACTTATAATGGGATTACTGGGCCATAACTCCCTTGTAAGTCGAGGAAAGCCTATAGTTGAATCATACAAAAGGCAGCCCCTTAACATTGGCTTCTTTCACTTTGAAATATGAATTTATGTTTCCTGCATATATATTCTTACCTTAATAGCTCAGTTCTTTTTAGTCCTGAATAATATTCCATTCTCCAGAAGTACAATTATTTATTTATTCACCTACTGTAGGGCATCTTGGTGGCTTCCAAGGTTTGGAAGTTTTGTGATTATGAATAAAGCTGCCATAAATAACCATGTGCAACCAAAATGCGTTAGTTTTTTCATTTACTTTGTGGTTAAATCATATCTTATTTCTGTTTTGCCAGTTCACTCTCTCTCTGTCTGTCCCTCTGTCTCTCTCTGTCATTGAAGTAGGAAAATCTCTGGTTGTGGATCCAAGGACTAATCATTTAGTTATCAATTTTAGGCATGTAGGAGTGAGCAACACATAAACTTTTATATAAAGTCCTTTAACATTATGGGAAATGATACTATACTCTGGCCAATAGGTGGAATGCCAGGAAGTGTGTTTCAGCATTCAGAATTGTAGATTCTCACTCTGTCTTCACTATTTATTATTATTGATTTCAATGGGACATCAGGAGAGTTGACCCCAAGGAACCACTTTAAAACAGATTTTTCTTGGGGCACCAAGGTGGCTCATTTGTTAAGAGACTGCCTTTGGCTCTGATTGTGATGCCAGGGTCGAGATGGAGCCCTGCATCAGGCTCCCTGCTTAGTGGGTAGTCTGCTTCTCCCTCTCCCTCTATACCCTGCCCTCCCTGCTCCTGCTCATGATCGCTGATGCACTCACTCTCTCTCTCTCTCTCAAAAAATAAATAAATAAATAAATAAAATCTTGAAAAACTAAAACAATTTCTACTCTATTTATTCATTTGCACAACTGACTTCTGTAAGAACTAAGGGATATATATAGTGGGTGTGTGTATATATATATTCTTTCAGAAATTTAAATTAATTCTTTTAGTTTTAGATTATTGCTTATTATTTATTTATTTTTTTTAGATTACAACTTCTGAACTACCAAGAATGTCTGTCACTGTTTGGTCTGGCCTCTAAGTGCAATATATTAACAAAACTATCATTAAAATATTTCCCTTTATAATTCACTAATAATATACCATTGGTTTATTTGCTTTGATTCAATTGTTTTTCATGAAGGTTCCCCATGTATACCATCTTAATACCCCACAAAATTAACTTAGTTCCTGATTAATTTTGGTCTGCAAGAATCAGTACTTGCTCACTGATCACTTTAAACCTGTGGTCCTATTGCTGGCCTCACTCCCTCCATGACAGGGATGGTCCACAAACCCGTGAGATAGTTGCTGCCTTTTTCACTCACATCTCCCTCTTTTCTTTCTCAGAGTTATTTAGCCGATAAACTTTTTTTCAAGTTAACTGTGTACCTCCTTTGAAAATAATGATGGGCTCCAAAACTTTCTCATGGCTTTTTTCATCTCTGAATTTCTCAGCGTATAGATTAGGGGATTGAACATAGGAGAAATGATGGTGTAAAATAGAGCAAATATTTTGTCCTCAGGAAAAGTAGTAGGTGGTCTAAGGTAGATAAAGATTACAGGCCCAAAAAATAAGATGACCACAGTGATATGAGAACAACAGGTGGAGAGGGCTTTGCGTCTTCCCTCAGCTGAGAGATTTCTTAAAGTGAACAATATTATCCCATAAGAAACAAATAAGACAATAAAGGTTACTAAGGAAAGCATACCTGAAAAGGCAACCACAAGGACACCAGTGATATGTGTATCAGTACAGGCCACCTTTAGCAAAGGAAAAATATCACAAAAAAAGTGATCGATTTCATTAGGACCACAGAAGGGCAAACTGATTGCAGTGGAAAATAGAGGAAAGGCATGGACGGCCGCACCAGCCCAAGCAGCTAAGACCAGGAGATGGCACCTTGTCCTGTTCATGATAATCACATAGTGGAGAGGTTTGCAGATGGCAGCATAGCGATCAAAGGCCATGGCGGTAAGAATGAAGATTTCAGTGCCTCCAAAGAAGTGCATTGTAAAGATCTGTAACATGCAATTACTGTAGGAGATGGTTTTTCTTTCCACTAGCAGGTCAGCAATTAACTTGGGGGTAACCGTAGAAGTGTAGCAGATGTCCATAGTGGATAAGTGGCTGAGGAAGTAGTACATGGGTTGGTGAAACAGAGGGCTGCATCGAATGGAGACAAGGATCAGAAGGTTTCCTGCCAACAGGGCAACATAACAGAATAAGAAGAGCACAAAGCAAAATATTTGTATGTTCTGGTCATATGAAAGTCCTAGAAGTATGAATTCTGAGATGTTTCTCTGGCTTTTCATATATTTGGCTTTGGTGTATGCTTCCCTAAGGACTTACATTTCTGAAAGAAAGAAAAGATAATTCTAGGTGAATATTAACTGTATGAATATTATATATAAAATTAATTAAAATGCATATTTTCAGAAACAGTGTTAAGAATAATTGTTTTTGATTTATTGAATTGAGCTGGTTTTTCTTTTTATGTTATCTTGTATAAATCTATCATGAAATAGTTTTATAATGGCAATAAACAGAATAATTACATATTTTACTCAATATTACTAGTAATTATTTAAATATTTAAATACTATTTTGAAAATACATGTTACTACTATTAATTATACTTTTAGAATAAGGACTGCTAATTATATTATTTGGTCTAAAACAAGGAAAAGCTTTCCTCCATATTTCCCAGTTTTTATAACTGACACATAAAATGAAATTCCCTTCTTTTAAAATTATCTCAGAAAATTCCCTTAATTTTCTGGGAATGAATCCTGAAGAAA